GGGCTCTCGAGGCAGGGACGCTGCCCGCAGCCCTGCATCGTCCAACCCTGCCCATCAGCCGTGCCCAAGGGACCGCTCTGCACCTTCTCCCGGCAGGAGAATCAGCACAAGGCTGCTCACGGAGGCTCCTGCGTTGGCCATCAGCAGGGACACTTCCCATCACTTCATCCCAGGCAAAACCCAGTTTGAAGGGGGCATTTCTGCAGTCTCACAGTTCCCTGAGAGCTGCCTCTGCTCTATTTTATTCACCACTTCCCAGTGTTCAAGCAAAGGAACGTGCCGGGTAGAGCCGAGATTTCCTCACCCTCTCCAAGCACTCCATGGAGGCCGGCCAGTAGGGCCCGGCAGCCACGAGGAGCAGTTCCCAAGGCAGCAGCGGCAAGGCCCGTTGGGAGGCACGGGTGCCCAGGAACACGCGGCGGTGCCCACAGAGCTCCCTCTCTGCCACGCGGCTCCAGGAGACACGACACAACACAACAGGTTCAGGCGCATTTGGTGCTACCTCGCACCATTGCCCCAGCTACACGGCGTGCGCCTCTCATACTCTTGTTGTTCTCCTTACCTCCTATGCCTGCTCAAGGATGAGCAGCATCACTGCTTTACGACGCACTAAAGCATTCCCACTTTCTGGGAGGGAAGGTGGACCACTTGGGATTCACTGCTGGGCACAAGGAGCGCACATAAACCATTCGATGCAACTCACCTGGCATGTGCAGCCAGGTACATGGAGCTTCAGGAGAAGCTTTTAGCAAGGTCCGCAAGAAGTCTTCAAGAAACCAGGCTATCATAAGGATGAGGGAGAAAAGTTATTCAGGGAATTATAACCTAACAACCAAGTAGGAGCTAGGCAGAAGCAACCGGCTTTCACAGACGCTGAGGTGGGAGAGAACAAGGTTAGATGACGACGAGGCACTGGTAACTCTTCTCAAGGATCCGTGCCGGGGCCTATACCAGTAAACAAACACTGCTCTCTAAGTGAGCAAACCGGACAGATGCATTACCTACCATAATATTTGCAAAGATGCATTTTTCAGATTATTCAGATTCAGAATTAGTCTGAATAACCTAGCATGAAGCCCGCTGTGGACAGCTACAGAAAGTTTCAGTGATGGACTGATTGTGAAATAAAATGTATTGCATAAAAAAAATCAGTCATTAAATGTAGCAAAACACAATGTGGAGAGAAAAACAACACAATAAATTAGCAACAAATATGAAGTCTGTTATTATGTAGGTTAACCTCCTTAAAAGCCACTTTGAAGCCGCCATGGGTAGGTCTCTAAAATACAATTTCCACATAACCAAAAGACAAATGAAAATAATTGGGATACTGTAGAAAGAAAAACAAAGTAGTAAGCATCATTATATCACAATCTACCATGAGAGATTACTGTTCTTCCTGATTACTGTTTGTCACTCTGCTCATATTACTCAAAAAAGAGAGTGAGAAGTGACAAGTGATCAGAGATACGATCTGCCTCCCATACAAAATTACCAGAAACTCAAAGCCTTGGAGGGATAAGAGAGAGACCATTAAAAACAAGAACATCAAGAACACAAGCAGAAAATGATTAACTATGGTATCACACAATGCAAGCGCTGGGAAAATCCCAATAAAATTAGTAGTGCTGAAAAAGCGAAGTTTTCAGAGAATTCTCCCCATCCCCACCCCTAACACCTAACTAGCTGTGTGCCATAGTACAAGTCAGAAGCCAAACGCCATGGTTTGATTCAAGAATTGCTAGGACAAATTAACGCACAATGCATTTCCAATGCAACAACCATGGTGTCCAACTCTAGCAGTCCTAAATTCAATAGAACATCATAAAACCTGTTTTTAATAGAGCATTTATTGCTCCCCCTCAATGCAGCTACACGTTCCTACTGCTGCAAGTAGGATGCAGGGTTAGAGGTCTAGAGACCTATCATCTGGCTCAGTACATGAGTTGTTTTTATTCACAAATCAGTGGGGAAAGTGTGGGTTCCCACCAGCAGAGAAAGAGAACAGCCAGTTAAGAGTTTTGTGATCGTTTAAGGCTTAGATTTAAGAGCCTATAAAGCTCACACATAAGGAACAGTCAATTAAAAGACATCCAAATCAAACAACTCTGCCCATTAATTCACCCTTACAGGATATCAAAAAAAGTTTTTCCTCTCTTGCTTTAAGGATATGTATTATTGTTTACTGAATGCTATCACAGCTCTCTCCTGACTTTACTGTAAGAAATCCAGGTTTTCTAGTTGTCAGTGTTGGGGGGAAGGAGTCACAAGTGTCAGCCATGAATCACTTGAAACTACAGATTGGCGACCAAAGCTGAACAACCCACTTCATTAAGGGCCCCCTAAAAAAAAAAAAACTGAAGGACTTTGAGGTTTCATTTCATATACACTTCATATTAGGGTCAAGTATCAATGCAGCACTTGCAAGCCCTCTTCCCATTTTAAAAAAAACAGGCCATAGGGAGGGACAGGAAGTTATTTTTCAAGCAACAAACTCTCAACTGCTCCCATATGCATTCAATCCTTACAATCATCTCATATTCACACAGCACAATTCCGGATTATGCAACCGTGCGATGCCTGCCCCAAAACACGACGTGCTGAAAGTGCCCGAGTGTTTACAGACAGAGGCTGCCAAACAGCCATTCCATCAAAACCTCAACTCAGCCACCGCTGGAGTTAAACTTGTTGGGACTAGACTGGAACACAGATGGAAAGACTTGCGTTCATCCTAGATTGCAAAATGGATGTCAGGAAAACAAACCCAACACACCTGTTGGAATGCACCGGCAGAAGCAACGTGCCATAAATAGCCCTGGCAGGGACACATCCGGGTAGCTCTAATAGAGCTTTTTGGCAGCAGAGAAAACAGCAGAATTTAAGCTAAGTTTAACCAAGGATATCATACAGGTTCACCCCTCTCTTCAGAATTTCACCTTAAAAAGGAGTGATGCATTTCAACAGACAAAAAAGGGAAACCAAAGATTGTCACCTATATATTTCATTTTTAAATGCTGCTTAAAACTTAAACAACTATTCTCATCCAACAACTTTTTCCTGTGTGGAAAGCCTGTCTCACACCAACCCCCAGGGTCCCACGTGATCCCCGGCAGCTTTATGGAGCACCCTTGCTTGAAGATGCAGCACAGAGAACACAAGGATAAGAAGCCACAGCATTTCAGAAGAACCATCGTGGCCCTGAGCTGTCTCAGGCTATGAGGCAGAGCCTTACTACACCTGGGAAAGCTGCCATCGTTACAGCCCATGTTCTGCTTGTCTTATGGACAAAAAGTTGCATCCATTTTCAGACTGACAGGTGAGTCCCTTTGCCCTTTGGGTTTTCTGCTTACTCTTTAAGGTATTTTGCGAGTTTTGCCGACCTTTCAGAGCAAAGGCCCAGACAGCTCTCGCTGCGCCGCCGCTTTCAGGATGTGGTTTCACGAGCAAAGCTCTGGGTGCCGGTTCTCGCCCGCCCGCTCTCTCCCAGTTACGCAAGTGCGGACGAGGTGAGGACGCAGACAGCAGACTGGCTTGGTGACGGGTGCTGCAGGGACAGGCCTGGCAGGGACACGTGGAAGCAGAAGCAGCCACTGAGCCCCAGTCTGTCACCACCAGAGAAGAGAGTGCCCTCATACCTCAGTTTCAGGTAGCGTTGACAAGCAAGGCACCTTGCTCGTCATTACAGGTACTCACCCAAGTTGTAGAGACCTTTCCTAGGATCTCCACAAGCAGCTTTGGGAGACCTATCTCCCAACAGCAAAAACACAACTGGAAACAAATGAAATACAACCTTGAAAAGCTGCATGTGAGCAGGTTTTGGAACCTTAGGTGCCTAGCTAGAGCTACAGGTCAAAAATAATTTTTCATCTTAGCCATGTGGTGTTCCTTCGACCACTTAGAACTGGCTCACTAGTATTCAGAAAGATAAACCATCCACCAGGCCAGAAGTTAATGAGAGTATCTCTGGGTAGGTTAGGTTAAATGACAATTACCATGACAATTACCAATTACTTTGAAAATTCAGAACACATGCTTCAGCTGAAGCAGCACAGCCCACAGTTCAAGAGAAATACAAGTGTAAATAATTTCAGGGAAGCCTGACACAACTCAGTACAGTGAGGAAACTTTACCAGTGCTCCTCAAAAGGCAGCACTAAGAAAAAAGATGTTACTACCATTTTGCTTGTTCTTAGAAACTATTAGCTGGAAGAAAGAAAACCTGAACTGCTGTTGTCTTCACTGTAACTCCCCCATATGTATAAACACACCCTTGTTCTTCCTTAGAAGGCTTTGTTTTAAGCACAAAGATCTACCTGAATGCAAGTAATGTTTACTCCTTTACTCCACCATCAAGCCAAGCACAGAAATCCCTCATATTTAACAAAAGTTAAGCCAAACCCATGTTAGCACGTAAAACTACCTGTATTTAGAGCCTCTGCACTGCAGTAATTAAATTTCTTTGGTAAAAGCAGAAAAGCTTTAATGTCTAAAGTCACTCTACTGAGTCAATTTTGCCCTGGAAGGATCATTTCTCATCAAGTCCAGACCATTCTAAATTTCTAAAATGTGTTTTAGAACGGAAAAAAAAGCTTTTTCACTTTTGGATCCTTAAACTCAGAATTGCAAGAACAAAATAGTAAAAAAAAACAGCTACGGCCAATCAACTATCAACTATAATCATGAAGCAAATTAAATCATCTGAAATATCACACAAAATCTAGATTAGCTATATAGAACAAGGAATAAGTCTTTAAAAGAAGGAAGTTTGTTCTTAATCCCACTTCTGCTTAGGCATCTTTACGGCATGAGCTTTCCATAGCACTTCAAAAAATTATCAAAAAATCAGAAAATTATGAGAAATTATCAAAAATATCAGAAAACATACTTTAACATCTCATACAAAGAAGGAGGGGAAAAAAAGCCACTTTATCAAAAAAGTGGACTTTAACAGCCAAATATCCACAAAAGTGAAGTTTATGTAACTGAAGTGTCAAGTCTTACCTGTTCCTCAGTTCTCTTGGGTGTAAATTCACGAAAGCCTTCAGCTTTCCATTCCTGTCAGAGTTAATATCTGAGCAAGTCCAAAGAAAGTTCTTCACCTAAAACAAATCAAAAGTAGAAAATCTCATTTTACAGCAGTTTCAAGATCTTTTTTTTTTTTCGTCCCCCTTTCTGAGCACCTGGCCCAAGAAACTTTTCATCATAGTTGCAGCATGATCAATTCACTGCACCACGGCACAGACTGGTTAACTGAATAAAATTACACGTGAAGTCTAAACACAGATGTAGCGTATGCTTTAATATTTCTGCAGCCACACGAAAGAAGATTAATTGGAGCTATTCAATTCGTTCAAAACACAGGGAGCCCTCTTGGCAGGATCCTTCTGTCACTGAACAACCTGTTTGTGCCCTTGGCTGGTTCAAGTGCCACCCTCTTGTGATCCCCCAGGAAGGGCAGCACGTCAAACGGGCACTGGATGAACTCGACTCCCAACTATGCAGCTCTACTAAAGAAACAGCACACCTAGATATGTGTGCCGACCAACAGAAATAACTGGCGATCTTTTAGAAGAATAAAATAATTGTTAGAAGTAACCTATCACCTACAGAAGCAACCAAAAATGGTATTTTAAGGCACAAAATAGTCGACACATCACATTAAGCTGGAATGAGTTTGCTTTTCTCTGAATACTACTTGGAAAAAAATGACATTTTCTAAGATCTAAAAGCGCTTTGACAACTTTTGATTATTTTGAGTTGAAATAAAAACAAACAATATTTCTTAGACTTTAGCATTCACTGAAATCCGAGAGAGGTAGAGGAGACAAATATTCTACCAAAAATCTACAAATGGGCCTCTGGAAAGAAGCCTGGCAGCAGCGGAATCCAGGTTCTTCCCCAACCTCTGGAAACCAAATGCCAGCAATATTATTTACTCTGAAACAAAGGAGCAGCAGCAAGTTCCTTCTGCCCACGGATTTCTCTCCTCCACCCTGAGCATCAGCCAGGGGCTCAGTTAACTACTGCTCCAGCTCTTATCCGCAGCAGAAGTGCAAATGCAAAGGGAGATCAAGACTTCAGCTCCAGCCTCCACGCTATTTACTAAAAATAATATATATAAAAAAGAACATAAGCACAAACTTTGTATCACGTTCTCTCTGACCACAAAAATGCAAAGAAAGAGCTGTCAAAGGACGAAAAACGATCAAGGTCACCTTCCAAAAAAAAAAAAAAAAAACCCTCCATAGACAGGAGAACAACAATCCTGATTACTTGGCTGCAATCCCTTATAATGCTCTCCTAGTCATAAAATGAGAATAATAATCTCTTGTTTATTCAGGTACTAAAAAACTTAAGTCTGCACCACAGACCACGAATAGGTTTTAGACTAGAGCTGGGAGCAGCTACAAGCAGTTAACCCAACAAATCTAGGACGTGTTCAGCATTTAAGCACAGGCTCCCCTTCACTGCTGGATGGGGCTCAGGGGCTGCTCCCGCCCCAGCCCGCGGCCTCGGCACCAGCAGCACCACGTGCAGCTTTATTGCAAGGAATTCCTCCCTTTTCCCTGGTTTTGACTTTTTTTTTTTTTTTTTTTTTTTTTTTTTTGGTGCTTTTGCTAGCTTGTTTCCTTGGGCTTGCCAGTTGGAAAGTGAGGAGCTAATGAGAGCCAAGGCTGCATTCGCTTTCTCTGCAGTCCCTTTAAAGAAGGTTTAATTTCTATAATTAAACCTGCATTTCATATACAGTGAAATGCAAATGCAAAGTAGCAAGGCCTCCAGATTTAATCTTTTTAGCAAAAGCAAAAAGTCAGCCAACTTAACACAGAAATTCCACCAGGACACGGACTGGAAGCTCATCCAGGCTAAGGCAAACCTAAGAGCGTGAAACTGAATGACAGAAAGCAGCCTTTGCATCATTCTCCCACACAGACAAACTTCTCCTATCCTAAAGCCAGCTTTAGGATAAAGAATGCTTTTTATAATCCATTCTGTTATTTTGTCATTATCTATTTTTACATGGGGGAAAAAAAGTAACTTAAAGGTCAGAAAAAATAATAATAATTTAGCTTTATCATACTGCAGTTTTCAGTAGGTGCTTATCTGTCTTCTAAGCAATAGATTTCCTTTGCAGCTCCCTAGGTCAAAGCCACACTTACTACATATAAATTAAGGCAGACAGAGATTCCCTGCCCAAATACACAGCATCGCTTTCTCCTGGAAATGTGTGGATTACATACATCAACCAAAAAGGTTGCCACAAGTTTGAGTTCTACTTGAGCTCAGACTAGTAAAAGGTTGGTAAAAATACTATTTTAATAGTAAGGCTAGGAATATGAAGCACAAAAAAGGGAATACGCTTTAACAAAGCGGAATATAGGACTATTAGTTACACTATGTTGGCCAAGAAGCCTGTTTACACTCTTACTTTTGAAGCTCCTGGACAGCAAAGTTTCTGTAAAAAATGCGTTTAATAGCCTCAGATTTTTGAAAGTCTGCAACGGGGAACACAGGAGTATCCTTTCCTTAGCTGACAACGTAAGAACAGCAAGGAAAAATCATGTTCATGTGAAACTGGCTTAAGAATGAACTGGGAGAAAAAAAGAGAAAAGGAACATCTGCTATTCGGGCTGTTTAAAGATAAAATGCCCCAAATCAGCTTTGGGGGAAAAAAAAAAAAAAAAAAGAAAAAAAAAAACCCAAGAACAGCAAGAACAACAAACCACAAGTTGCAGGTCAATTACAAAAATAGGTTTTTCCTGTACAAGTGACAAAAAAACCTTCCTCATGCTAGAAAAATAAACTGCAGCAGATAGAAAGTGAGGTGACTTGAAGTTTCGTGTTATGCCCCACTTAACTGAATGGTAGATCTAAAGAAAAAATACTAATTTATTTAGCATGTAATCAAATATGCACAGATTCTATTTCTTTGCCCATCAATGTTCACCCTGCATCAGTCTAACCAAAAGGGTAGGCAAGAGCAGCTCCGTTAGACACAATTATCCCAGAGGAATCCTTCCTTGGCAGGTTAAAGACAAGGCTGCCGTGACAGGTAAAATCTGCAAGGCGAGTTGTCCTCGTGTCCTGGGACACTGTCGAGCCCCTTGCAACCGAAGCCCTGGGGACAAGCGGCCAAAACACTGCCGTGCAGCCCCCCAACAAGGCCTAGCTCAAGTCAAGCTCTGACAAAAACCAGAGTCCTTCCTAACTGGAAGCATTACTAAACACCTAAGTGTTTAGTAATTACTAAGTCACCTCGGACAGATTTACTTTGTCTCCTCTCCCCTTCTCACTTCTCCTTCCTCTACTCATCATCCCCAAGCGGAGCCGCTTCCACGTTTCTCACGCAGATATTTATTCTGCCATAAGCTTTATTGATTTCAACTGCAACGCATTAAAATATGAAGTGCATCCTTGCAGGCACATCAGACAAATGGTAATTTATAAATTGGAAGTTGATACGAGGAATAGAGGAGGCAAAAAAATCTTTTTTCGCTGAAACTCAGACAACCACAATGGTTTGTTTGATGATTATATTGAAGGAATACAATATAAACCAACTAAGCAAGTCACACAAGCAAAAAAAAACCAGGCACAGTAACAAAAATGAGGTACAGTTGACTCCCCAGTTCAATTTTGAACAAAAAACTTCAAAGAGCAGAGAAATATATGGATTACATCTCTGGCATGAGCATGCTGGTTTCATGCCACCAGCCTGAAGCTCAAGTCTGGTTGCAAATTAGAAAACCCATGCTAAGCAATGTAAGCAAGTCATATGTTAAAAATATACATATGTATATAGTTATCAAAGGTGCCTCATGCATCTAGGAATAAAATACATCAACACAAACCACTGGGAAGACAGAGTAATGTGCAATATTTGCCTTGCAGTGCTGGTCCATGCTCTGCCTCTCCCCTACCCTAAGGATGGGCCCCGTTATTCAGGGGAGGCTCGAGGAGGGAAGGGAGATCAGTGCTGTCTACACCTATCTGAAGGGAAGTTGTGGCAATGACTAAACTCTTCCTGTCATTAAACACCTCTATAAAGAAAGGCAACAGAAGTTCCAGCAAGGACAACCGCAACTATATGTTAAGATAAATTTTTCCTCAATGGAGGTAGTCAAATATTTGGATGGCCCTTGCTCTGTGCACCTGCAGAGAGACTGTGTCACCTGCTTCTACACTGAAGTAGGTCCCATGGGTGCAATGATCTTTAGCAGCTCTTCACAAAGCACAAGGCATCAGGCAAAGCGCAGTATCAGGTAAGCGGATCACAAAGTTAAGTCTGTCATTCTGTTTAGCTGTCTAATGGAGATACCCAGCGAGGAGCTCTACCTTTCAGTCACTGTGCAGCTCACAAAGAGAAGAGAAAGAAAACCAATCAATGAAAAGCAACTTCTGTATAGCATGCTCAAAAACCTTTCTCCAACTCAAAACGCACAGAGCTTAAGGGCTGTTCAGAACGACTTACAACTGCAACACGTTAAACATCAGAAACCATCTTATACAGGTAAGAATCAGCTCAAGCATAAGGAAATAACTCTGAAAGGATGGCTGAACACTGGAACAGGTTGCCAGAGCCCTTGGGGAATCTCCATCCAACCTGACTGGACAAGGTCCTGGGCAAACCTGCTGCAGATGACCCTGTTTTGAGCAGGGAGGTTGGACTAGACAAGCTCCAAGGTTTAACTTAATGTGCACAGTCAGCAAAAGTGAGCCTCCCTAAGACGCGAGTCCAACATTCACAGCTGGGTGCAGAATCCAAGCTATACGTGCAGAGGATTCTGTGGGTTTTGCATCGAGGCTGTAGGCACTGCCATACCATAAACATAGATCAAAGTAGTGAAACCCAATAACCAAGTCACGGAGAGACTCTGCAGCTTGCAGAGAATGTGAACAGAAGGTACTCCTGCCTAGGAGCACTGTGCAAGGAGCACTGTTCTCTGATGGACACAAAAAGAAATAAAAAAATTGATCAGTGTTACTGATGAAAATAAAATTTACATAGCATTCCTATGAAAATATTTTTATAAAATGCTGAAAATAAAAATAAAAAGCAACTTGCACCTGAAGCCACATCCTTTCCAAGCATTTTGTTAGGAGTTTCCCACCACCGAAACAACAGCAAAACTCTTCACCCAGTATCTTCTAACATTATAAAATCCAGGACACTACTTAAAAACCCTTGGCATCTATTTGGCTAAAAACTATCTCCAAATTTATGCTCTGTCACAAGTCTAAAAGTAGTACTTTTCTCCTTTTTCCTCAAAATTTTTAATGAAAGATCAAAAGATTTTAAGAGGTAAGACCAATTCATGTTTTGAAACATAAATAGCAGCTTATGGTAAAAGTGGAATTCATTTATTGGGAGCTTCAAATCTCCTCCTGAACTCATTTACAGCCGCAATTACCCAGCCATGTCTACTAAAAGAGATTAAAATATATATATATATTGCAATTACAATAATTTTCCCCTTATGCTCACTTTAAAAAAAAAAAAAAAATCATTCACAGTATACAAGACCAAGTCTCTACCAAAAAAGCTTAAAGATAATTCAAGAAAAAACTGATTCAGTAGTGCTGAACCATTTTTCCCTCTTTAGAAAATTAGACCTAATTTTTGGCACAGCATCGAGAACGATGGTAAACAAAACAAAGATAAATCTAATGAAGATTAGTGCTTACCACATCTAAAAACCATAGTTCCATAGCTTCAGACAACAGTGGTTGCAAAACGCATGCCAAATACCTTTTTAATCATGCAAGTGCTAAACAAAAGCAAATAGTACTTTAAGTTATTTACAAGCAAATAGTACTCTAAGTTACTTACAAGCTATGAATAAAACTAAAGAGCAAGCTTGCTTGGACACCTCTAAAGTTGTCTGAAAATCACTTTTTGATTGAAATCAGTTTCACAGTCATTACTAGAAGACCTCTGTATTTTGCACGATGCTGCCACTGCACTGTACTCCACTTTTTTAGCACACCTTGGAAGTGCTGAAGCCCTGCTCATAGTATCACTGAACCAGGGCACTTTGGCTTTGTGCTATGGACAAAGCTTTAGCTACCTTACCTCCCCCAGCAGATCACAGCTTTGTGCTCTTCTTCCCTCCTCTTCTAAAGGGCAGAGAAAAGCTCTATGTGCTGCAGCTCCGCAGCCCAGCACTGCTGCACTGATTCACCCTGAGCGGCTGATGAAGGTGCTGACTTTGTGACAGAACTGGATGCTGATACTGGCATCCATGTTCCCCTTTTACCACAGCCTTATCCTGCAATGTTCAGAAGTGTTACAAGTAGAGAAGACGCATTGTCTTCTCCGAGTCAGGAAGGCTCCTTTTTCATGCCCTCTATTGATGGACCCCTTGAGAGGCCTCCCCCACCGCTTACCAAACAGTGCAAGGAGCTCCCGCATCCCTTGGCTAAGTATCAAATGGATGCAGCACAGATGTAGCCAGGTTTTGCTTTAAGCTGGCTTAAAGAATTGACAACTTCTTATAAATGAGCATTTTGTTAACTCATTTTGTGTGTAATCCGTTTCATTCTTCTTGCCATTTTGCAGACGCTCTCTCATTTTATTGCTATGGCTCAAGGTGCACAAGCAAGCTGGGCAGGCAGCAAACATCCAAAACCATTTATTGCACCATTACTTTAATCTGGAGCACCCCACCTATTCCACGGTCACCATTCATCCCGTGAGCTTGGCGCTGAAGCTCCCGGCAGCGACAGCGAGGCGAGGGCGCAGGACAGGGTGCCGAGCTGTTCCTGCCCGTGCTGCTAAGCTCGCCGCACATTCCTGGCCCGGGTCTGCTGGCAAGGCGGCAGGCAGCGCTGGGCCCAGCGCAGGAGGGCCCAGGGGGCTCGGGATCACTCCCGGGGAGCAGGAGGGCCCACGGTGGGGCTAGGAACCGCTCCTGGGGAGTAGGGGGTGCGTGGGCAAGCTGGGTGGATGAACACGAGGCCCCCCTACAACAGCCCCGATAGCTCCCATCAACGGCAGAGCAGAGTTTTCCTCTTCACAGAGCTCATGAGATTGGGACAAAACGCTCTTCACTCACGCAATGAGAAATGGCCTGACAAGAGAGCACTCTTGAGCTACAGGGTGCTGCAGAAAGAGCCTCTCCTGCCTGCAGCTCCATCTCTGGCTACCTAGTGGTCTCCCAGAGCAGAGGGTGACAGATCAGATGATCCGTCCTCGAGGGCAGCGGCAGCTCAAGGGCTGGGCTTCAGCACCCCACAGCTCTTCAGGGCAAGAGAGCAACTTTTCGGTACGGCCATTCACTAAGAGATGATGACAGCTCAACTTCAGAAGAAGTTGGACTAAGTTTTACCACCACTGCATGCACTCACGGTAACGACATTCAGAATTTATTCATGTGGTGACCAACTGAAGGTAGCAGTGGGTTTGTAACAAGTTGGTTCCAAGTCCTGAACCCAGAAACAACCTTGACCCAGGCTACAGTGCTCAAATAACTAGTCGTTCGAAAGCTGACTTCAAAAGGTGACGCCAAAGAAGGGTTATGGTAAGATATCCACTGCTATTGCCATTCTTAAACCAGCAGCCGTGCAAAAAGAGCAGGCCCTCAGCACCAATGCCAAAAATAAAGAAAGAAAAAATACAGGCAGATTTTCCCACCTGGCAAGAACACTTTGAACCTTTAACATGGAGAGGTTTTGGTACCTCCTCTCCCTGCAACAAGAAAACAGTGTAATACAGAAACCAAACACTCTTTAAGGGCACTTTGCATTATAGTGCATACATAATTACTTCATTTTCAAAAGTACTATTAAAAGCTAGCATTAAACTCCTTTAGTTGCAAGCATACGCATGTAACACCCACACACTGTGGCAGAGCCACGAGTATTTTATTGCCACCTGTAAAATGTGACTGAAATAGTGCAGCACTGCTCCACAAACCCTCTTTCCTTCTCCATGTGAAAAGCACAAAGGACCACGCAAACCAAGATACTATGACTTACCTGGCACTTGCAGGAAAGTTCCATCCCTAATTCCTAGCCAAGCTTCAAGCAAGAACTAATTAAAACCTTTAAGCTGCGTTCAAGTCGATACCTGCCTTTGTTTACTAACAGTTTGTACAGGAAAGCTCCCGTTGCTGTTGCAAATGGCTGCAGTCCAAAGCCAGGCCTTAGCTGTATCCGATAATGCCTGAAGAGAAGCTAGTCAATTCCGGAGAAAGCAGCCTTCAGATTTGAGAAACTAGGCAGAAGTCACGAACTCGGCCTCATTTGTGAAGAGCTGCCCGATTCCCCTCCACCTCAATGCAGCCGGGAGCCAAACGCAGCTGACTCCCTTTTCAGCTCTTTGCTCACTTTGCAACTTAGAATCACCGGCATCTCTGCACCCTTCCTTTCTACATTGCAACATGCAGAAAAAGGGAAGACAGGAGGAAGAATCGGAGACGATATGAATCACTATTTGTAGTCTCAGCTATAATATTTAAATGTAATCCAAGACGTTTTTTTCAGCATTGCTATCTACCGAAATCTATGCCTCAGCCTTGCTTGTCCTGGATGTTCTAAACACAGTCTTAGATAAAGCTCATCTTTCTGCCACAAAAATCTTTCTCTCCTCCACATTAATGCTGACAGCTGTGGAGGATTTAACTTTATAGTCCTTACAATTCCTCCTCACCTGAAGCCAACCTTTGCTAAACGGTCCCTAACCTAACAACTCCTACTGGGAGCAGCCAGTGTTCCCACCACCACCCTCCAATCTGTTTCAAATGAGAGAAAAAAGAATTTTAAATGTGTGCATTAACTTTCTGCTTCATCTACTTTTTCTTTAAGGTTTGTCCTCAATAACCTAACCGCATCTTCCCGTTATTCACAACTGAAAGATGAAATGGGAATTTTATCTAAAAATACAAATTCCTTCAGCAGCTCTGTAATCTCTCTCCTTTCATCCATTTGTGAGGCCTGGCTTTTTAGGCCCCATGTCACTTGATGCTCTTTCTCAAGAAAGTGAGGAAACTTCTCACCTAAAGTTAGACTCAAGCATAACTGGGACTATGCAGCAGTTGCAATATGTAAACTGGGGCCTTCTGTTTCAATAAAGGCTAGACACCCCAAATTTGAGGAAAGCAGCCCTCCCCCAACAGAGAGTCAGCTTTCTGCCTCTGGGCATTTTTCCCCCAACACCTACAAGGGGACAGTTCACTTTGCATGCTATTTTTTTCACGCTGCTGGCTCTGCCCAACTGTTCTGCTGTTCTGAACTGGATTGACTGCATTTTCCCATTTCCAGAAGACTGGTATTACATCACTTACTTCAAGAGCACGTTCACAGCACTGGCGCTCCTGCCTTTGGCAGGCACGAAGCTGTTGGCAGTTTGAGGCAAGTCGCTATATTTAAGGCTCAAGAACAAAACGACGCCTCAGCCACGCGAGGCTGGAGCTCAGCGGCGCAGGCAGGTGAGCACTGACTCACACACCAGGAGCCGAGATCTGACACTGCCAGCAAGCACCCTGCGACGACCAAAACCTGGGCTAAAAACACACCTGATGAGCAGGTTAAAAACACAGGTGATGAGCAGCCCTCCCAATATTTGATCACTGCTTATTAGCAAACCCTTGGTTTACTGGAAGCGTGCTTGAAATCAACAACAAATCTGAAAATCATTACTGTATCAACAATACACATACAAGTAAAAATTGGAATCCACGGCACTCCTGCATGTTCATACCCAAATCTTTCACACTGCCGCTTGAGGACAGAATAACCTCTTTTCTTTTTTTCTAATTTTGTTTAGCATATTCATTAACTCCCCCCCTTTTTTTTTTCTGTCTTAAAGTAAACTACAGTAGTCCAGAATTAAAACAGAAAGTCCTATCAATTTTAATGCATAATAAAAATGCAGTTCTGCAGGTCTTCTGGCTTCATCTATTTAGAAAACAGAAAAATAAAATAAAATAAAATAAAATAAAATAAAATAAAATAAAATAAAATAAAATAAAATAAAATAAAATAAAATAAAATAAAAGTTTGCTTTGGAAGCAAGGGCCTGTGCTAAGGCTATGTTTGCATTTTCCTCCTGTGGGTATTTGAGAGAGGCACTCCAACAGTCCAGCAAGGGTTCTTCTGGTTCTCCTACAGCCCTGCTGAACGGCACTGGATAAACACCACCAGGCTCAGGACACCACAGGAATTTCCAGAGTTATGGCAAGCACAGGTCTCTGGCAGCCGTGCCAGACAAAGCAGAAATCCAAGAGGGACATTTAAAACCTGCCTTCCTGTCAGCACGGCCTTCTTCAGCGACGGCAAAGGAAGGGCAGGGGAAGAGTAATGAGAAAAGCACCCAGGGTAAGGACAAACTAAATGGCTTTTGCATACGCAGCTCCTTGCTTTTCCTGCCTCTAAAATGTTTGCTTTAGCAAAAGCGGAGAGAAAGCATCAGGTTTCAGCCTTTAGTCGAGCTCCTGTATAATCAATACAGTAGAGTCCAGTGAACTATTTTATCATGATTCATCCAACAAGCTGTTAAACACGTTTGCAAAGAAAATAACCATTGCCAGGGTCGTGTCATTCATAAAGATAAAAGTTTATTTTCAGTGTATGAGAATGTTAAGACAGGACTTTCCCTTGCACAGTCACGCAGCCATTCAGCACGGATGAAAGTACAAAAGCCCTTTTGGTCTGCCCAGTTTGCACAAAACCAACACACGGGGTTTGAAAGCCTGACCACCTCCAGCAGAAGCTTCACACTGATTTAGGAGGGTCTAGTATCACCTTCTATTAGGCACAAGGAAGGATATCTTCAAAACAGCACCAAATATTTCAATTAAAATATGGGTTGCTAAAGACTATGGCATACAGGAAAAAAATTATTCTTGGCAATGTTTGTTGTTTAACTGGGCAGAATATTCATTTTTGAAACATTAAATAAACCAGACTGGGAATTCAGAAGGTGAGAAGACTTGTCCAGAAAAACAGAATAAAAAGATTTTCAGTTGGATCAGAGATAAAAGCTGCAAGGGTTTTGGGCAGCAGTAACATGTGTTCGTTAAACCTTCAGCTGAAATCTCACTGCCCACCAAGCACCCACTTCTAAAGTGCAGACAAAGTCAGGTTCCGTTTCAGTACTGAAAGAAAAGCCTGACTTCTGCCACAAGCAGTTTCTTCAGCAAGAGCAAATTTATGTTGTGGCCCTGTTCAAAGAAAAGCATCCAAGATGTGCACGTTTCCTCTTACACTGGCCTTTCACAGAAGGGAAAAAAAAAATAATAAAGCTTCCTCCCTTTGAGACCACAGATAAAGGAAATCAGGTTTCCTGTTACAGGCTGGCAACGTGATAGCCAAAATTAGGGAACTGTGAAAACCTGACACCGCTGGTAGTGTAAACCAGAGGAGACACCATTTCAGCCAGCCACAAAATTCTGCTACCAGCACGTTCTGCATTTTTAAAAGACAGTTTAACCCGCCTCAACATTTTGCTGCACTCAAAGTCCCCCAGCTCCTGTCACCTAATGCAGACCAGGGTCACAAGTAAGTGCGGAGTAAGTGGCTGGATGGGTATCCAGTCTCCTGCTCCTCGCTGGGCAAACTTCCAAGTAACCGAGTCGCTCCGAGCCTTGCTCAGTTAAATTTTAAAATTCTCCAGGGATGGACAGACACACCACAATCTCTAGAGCAGCCTCTTCTCTGCTTAATCATTCTCCTAACGTTTTACTTGGTTGCAGTTTGGGTGTGGATAAACTCTATTTCTTCTGGAGGCAACTAAACTGGAAGCGTGCCCCAGGAGCTCATCAGATGTGATCCAGTTCCCAATGCTCATAGGGGTCCAAATCAACAAATGTATATTATAACTTATCACAAGTTATGTGAAAATACTATTTCAATTATCATCACAAAGTTCCAAGAGTAAGAAAAACATTCTCAGGACTATGTAACTATTGGTCAAATCGGCAATATACAGGTGTTCAAAAGTACTTGGTAAATCTCAGACAGAAACATTTGCATTGGCTCTAATAAAAAAGCCCGTGATATAAATCAGAGCTACCGACATGAACAGCTGGCGTGTAAGAAGTTCTGCTACCCCAGCAGTTACTTTACAGATATTTATCTGCAGCTATAAAAGGAAGAGTTCTGAATTAATCCCCTTTCCCGTCGCATCAGCACACGGTAAGCCCGTCCTTTGAATGCAAAGGCCAGAACACAATTGATTTAGCTGATGGTGCCCTAAAGAGCCTGCGCGGTGCCCTGTGGCTCCAGACCCGGCCGGCGAGCAGGGCCAGGCTGCAAAAGCAGACCCGACACCAGCCAGGCCCACCCACCGCAACCAAACCTTCCATGAAGAGGGGAAAGACAACGATTAGAAAGCAGCTTTTCGCAGTTACACTCAACTTGTAGTCTGTGCTTTAGTGCAGTCCTGAATAAGCCGGCCTGACGGTCGTTAGTTCTGTTAAAATCCACTACAGCATCAACAATGCGGAGAGAAAAGATTATTTCAGGCTCACCTGGAAACTTATTTGATCAAGATAAAAGTCCATGTTAACCTATAAATTCAACATCAGCACGTTTCTCTCAAGAAAGGTAAAGAAAGTGAGGCCCCACAAACTTCAAATAAGTTCTTTTTGAAAAACGTTACCTCTAAAGGTTAGTCAACAAGCAAAAAAAGAAAAAAAAAGAAAAAGAAAAAAGGAATAAATTAAACCCCCCAAGTTGTTTCTGAGCAGTGAAGGCAAATCATAAAGAATCAGAGAGCAATCTGCTTTCAAAACAAACTTATATGCTAGTGGTGGAATTAAGATTTTATTTATCTGGGGGAAACAGGCAGCCAAACACTAAAGACTTCAAAAACACTTCACTAATATTTAAAAATCCATCTGAAAAAAATATTCTTCCCATTCTACAGACCCTAAGCTCCAAGGCAAAGAGGTGTTTACATTTAAGAAAAAAAAAAAAAAAGAAAGAAAGAAAAAAAACCCCTCCCAGCTTCCTGGTGCATAGGACTCTGACCTAAGCATTAACCACTATCCACAGCAGCAACTCCAAGGCACCATCCTTTTAAATTACCTGCATTCAGAGCAGTTCTAAAAGCCCTACACGTTTCATGTTTCAGGAACTTGGTTGCCCTTCCAAACAGACACACATGAGCTGTACATGGAAAAAAACCCACCTTGATGTGAAACCCCACGCTTGCACCACAGCATCTGCAACACCACGAAGCACTCGAGCACTATGGAGGGACCACGGGATCTGACCAGGATTGATTTTGGTGCCACAGCTCAAGCTGTGGGCCTGCCTAACAACACTGGGCCTGTGACCACACGCTTCACCAGCTATGCAGATTATGGAACAATGGAAGAGTGCCCCATTTCCATAAAGAATTCTTTAAAGAACATTACCATCCAGAAAATAAAAGCTTGCAAATATTTAGTTTCACTTTACACACAAAAAGACATGGTAGAATCTACGTTAGAATTCAAATAACACACTTATCAAAAATGTAAGAAAGAGAGATCAACACCTCATGTTTTATTTTCCAAGTCAGAAGACAGACAACTAACCACTTGATCTGTACAATTCTGTTCAAATACACAGTAAAACAA